CGGCTCCCGCCTGAGATTTCCATGCAATTTAGCCAGGACCCCCGCTCCCGCCCAAGATTTCCCCGCATTACATTCAGGAATCGCGCTCTCGCTTGGGACTTCCTTACAATTTAGTCAGGAGTCGCTCTCCCGGCGCTCTGGAGTCGCGCTCTCGCTGGAGACTTGCTTGCAACTTTTTATGGCCTTGCGTTGGAATTTCTTGCAATTTGCCCAAGCGCCGCGCTCCTGACACCCAGGCACCCAGGAGTCGCGCCCGTTGTGACCCCATGTGCATGCCCTTCGTGGCCCCGCTGTCGCCATTCGTTCCCCCCTCACTGTCCTATGTGGCCCAGTTGCTACCCTCAGTGGCCCCATAGTTGCCTTCTGTGGCCCCGCATTATCTGCACTTCGTGGCCCCCGCTCGTTCGCGCTCTTCGTGGCCCCATACGCATTCCCTTCGTGTCCCCGCTGTCGCCCTTCGTGGCCTACTTCGTGCCCTTCGTGGCCCTGCTGTCGTTCTCTCTCGCTCTCGCTTTCGCTCGTCGTCGCCGCAGTCGTTGTCGTCGTCGCCGTCGTCTTCGACGTCGTCGTCGTCGTCGTCGTCGTCGTCGTCGTCGTCGTCGTGGTCGGTCCCCTGTCCGTCCCTCTTGGTGTCGGGTCGACGGTCCGCGGCCGCCCCGCCGATCAGCGCTGCCGCTGGCCAGGCCGACGGTCCGCGGCCGCCCCGCTGCAGGGAGGAAATGTATACCCCCCAAGAGGGGTTCGATCGAAGACGAAGAGGGCGGGTATCGAGGGTTTGGGAAACACGCGTTATTTGACACTTGAGCATATAAGGGCGAACAGTCTGAAACTTATTGTTGTTGTTGTTGTTGTTGTTGTTGTTGTTGTTGTTGTTGTTGTTGTTGTTGTTGTTGTTGTTGTTGTTGTTGCTATTGCTGTTGTTGTTGAGTTATCATTGCTGAAGAATAACTATGGTTGATCCCCCCACCTGTGCATGTTGTTTTTTTCTCAACAAAAGTGTGCCCCTCGACGCTCGCACCCTGTTTTTTGACAGGGAAGCTCTTCCTGCTCAAACTGGCCCCCTGGCCCCCGGGTTACAACAACAACGGCTCCCGCCTGAGACTTCCTTATGAATTAGCTAGGACCCCCGCTCCCGCCCGAGACTTCCTCGCATTTGATTCAGGAATCGCGCTCTCGCTTGGGACGTCCTTACAATTTAGTCAGGAGTCGTTCTCCCGGCGCTCTGGAGTCGCGCTCTCGCTGGAGACTTGCTTGCAACTTTCTGAAGACTGGCCTTGCGTTCGAATTTCTTGGAATTTGCCCAAGCGCCGCGCTCCCGGCACCCAGGCACCCAGGAGTCGCGCCCGCTGTGGCCCCATGTGCATGCCCTTCGTGGCCCCGCTGTCGCCATTTGTTTCCCCCTCACTGTCCTGCGTGGCCCAATGGCTACCCTCAGTGGTCCCATAGTTGCCTTCTGTGGCCCCGCATTATCTGCACTTCGTGGCCCCCGCTCGTTCGCGCTCTTCGTGGCCCCATACGCATTCCCTTCGTGTCCCCGCTGTGGCCCTTCGTGGCCTACTTCGTGCCCTTCGTGGCCCTGCTGTTGTTCTCTCTCGCTCTCGCTTTCGCTCGTCGTCGCCGTCGTCGTCGTCGTCGTCGCCGTCGTCTTCGACGTCGTCGTCGTCGTCGTCGTCGTCGTCGTCGTCGTCGTCGTCGTCGTCGTGGTCGGTCTTCTGTCCGTCCCTCTTGGGTCGACGGTCCGCGGGCCGCCCCGCCGATCAGCGCTGCCGCTGGCCAGGCCGACGGTCCGCGGCCGCCCCGCCGCTTGCCCGGGCCCGGCCTGCAGGGAAGAAAGGTCTACACCCCAAAAGGGGTTCGATCGAAGACGAAGAGGGCGGGTATCGAGGGTTTTGGAAATAAGCGTTATTGGACACTCGAGCATATAAGGGCGAACCGTCTCAAAATTGTTGTTGTTGTTGTTGTTGTTGTTGTTGTTGTTGTTGAACATTATTTCTTCTTAAGAATAATTATTGTTGGGACCCCTGGTGCGCGACCCCCCCGCCGCGCCTAGGCCGCAGCCACATTTTCATCATTTTCGTGAGGAAGTCTCAGGCAAAACGATTGGTACCGGATCCGGTTTTTTGTTGACGCTCGTTTTCCCTTGCAAAAAACAATAAAATGAAAATTCTTGTTCTTACTTGATCAAATTGCAAGAATCCCTTGCAAAAAATAAGGTAAAGTGGACATTCGTGCGCGCAAGACGAAATCCTTCCAAAACCTTAGGTTTCGTAACGATTTTAACATAAAAACATCAAAAACCCAATGGTTTTTTAAGAAAAAATTGTCAAAATGTCCTTCCGCGCGCGCTGTCCGAATCCCACAAAACCAATGGTTTTTCAACATTTATGTTACATGAGCTCGCGCGAGCTACTTTTTCTTGTTCTAACATAATCAAATTTCAATAATCCCTTGCAAAAAATAAGGTAAAGTGGACATTCGCGCGCGCAAGACGAAATCCTTCCAGAACCTTAGGTTTCGTAACGATTTCAACATAAAAACATCAAAAAGCCAATGGTTTTTCAAAAAAAAATGTCCAAATTTCATCCCGCGCGCGCTGTCCGACTCCCACAAAACCAATGGTTTTTCAACATTTATGTTACATAAGCTCGCGCGAGCTACTTTTTCTTGTTCTTACATAATCAAATTTCAACATCCCTTGCAAAAAAAAAGTAAAGTGGACATTCGCGCGCGCAAGACCAACAAAAAACACGACGATCTCAGGAACTTGCCCCAAAAATGTGGCCAACTCCGCTCTCTCTGTCTCTCTCTCTGTCTGCTCTCTGTCTCTCTCTGTCTGTCTGTCTGTGTCATGTATTGTATGTCACAATTGCAGGATGCTGGGCACACGCGCGCCCCGAATAAGTGACCAAGTTCTGTGGGTGTGTACCCCACGCCAGTGTAGTAGCCACGGTCGTCCGCACGCCACGAAGTGAAGTGTCCCAACGTCATAGGGCGGGAAGCTGGGTTTGGGTGGTCGCGAAGAGTCGTTTGGATATTTGGTAGAGCTTGAACTGCCCCCCCACGAAGTGGGGGTATTGTCTCGCGTCGCATGAAAACCCTGGCACTGGTGAGAACACTGAGCGTTCGGGTAAAATGATTGTTGTTGTTGTTGTTGTTGTTGTTGTTGTTGTTGTTGTTGAATCCTCATGTCTGAAGAATAATTATTGTTGATCCCCCCCACCGGTGCATACTGTTTCTTCTCAATCAAAGTGTGCCTTTCGACGCTCGCACCCTGTTTTCTGATAGGGAAAGTCTTGATGCTCAAACTGGGCCCCTGGCCCCCAGATTACAACAACGGCTCCCGCTTGAGACTTCTTTACAATTTAGTCAGGGCCCCCGCTCCCGCCCGAGACTTCCTCGCATCTTATTCAGGAGCCGCGCTCTCGCTTGGGATTTCCTTACAATTTAGTCAGGCATCGCTCTCCCGGCGCTCTGGAGTCGCGCTCTCGCTGGAGACTTGCTTGCATGTTTTTTTGAAGAATGGCCTTGCGTTGGAATTTCTTGCAATTTGCCCAAGCGCCGCGCTCCCGGCACCCAGGCACCCAGGAGTCGCGCCCGTTGTGGCCCCATGTGCATGCCCTTCGTGGCCCCGCTGTCGCCATTCGTTCCCCCCTCACTGTCCTATGTGGCCCAGTTGCTACCCTCAGTGGCCCCATAGTTGCCTTCTGTGGCCCCGCATTATCTGCACTTCGTGGCCCCCGCTCGTTCGCGCTCTTCGTGGCCCCATGCGCATTCCCTTCGTGTCCCCGCTGTGGCCCTTCGTGGCCTACTTCGTGCCCTTCGTGGCCCTGCTGTCGTTCTCTCTCGCTCTCGCTTTCGCTCGTCGTCGCCGTCGTCGTCATCGTCGTCGCCGTCGTCTTCGACGTCGTCGTCGTCGTCGTCGTCATCGTCGTTGTCGTCGTGGTCGGCCCCCTGTCCGTCCCCCGGGTCGACGGTCCGCGGCCGCCCCGCCGATCAGCGCTGCCGCTGGCCAGGCCGACGGTCCGCGGCCGCCCCGCCGCTTGCCGGGGCCCGGCCTGCAAGGAAGAAGTGTATACCCCCCAAAAGGGTTAGATCGAAGACGGAGAGGGCGGGTTTTGAGGGTTTTGGAAATACGCGTTATTGGACACTCGAGCATATAAGGGCGAGCAGTCTGAATATTATTGTTGTTGTTGTTGTTGTTGTTGTTGTTGTTGTTGTTGTTTTTCTGTTTTTGTGGTTGGTGGTTGTGGTGGTGGTGGTATTTGGGTGCTGGTTGTTGTGGTTGTGGTTGTTGCTGTTGTTGGAAATGTTGTCGTTGCTGTTGTGTCGTGGTCGTTGTCGGTGGCGTTGTCGTTGGCGTTGTGGTGATCGTTGTCGTAATCGTTGTCGTTGTCGTTGTCGTTGTTGTTGTTGCTGTGGTTGTCGTCGTTACTGTTGTGATTGTTGTGGTTGTGGTTGTGATTGTTGTTGCGGTTGTGGTTGTGGTTGTGGTTGTGGTTGTGGTTGTGGTTGTGGTTGTGGTTGTGGTTGTGGTTGTGGTTGTTGTTGTTGTTGTTGTTGTTGTTGTTGTTGTTGTTGTTGTTGTCGTCGCCCTCGCCCGCGGTACCCCTTTGACCCCCCCGCGACCCACCCCGCGACTCACACCGCCCATCCACTCTCATCCGCAATCGCGGGGTGCTGCGTATTCTGGGACTTTCCGGGTTCCAGCACACGCGAGGCGCCTGCTCAGTTCAAGAAAGGAACGGCTTTCCCCCTTTCGTTCCTCTTCGGGGCGGGCGGAAACCCAGCCCGCACACTCACAGCGTTGGAACGGTGGACGATGGACGAGCACGCCCGAGGGCAGACACTGCTCTATGGCTATGGTCATGCCCTCGGGGCGCGGCGGCATTTCTCTCTGGTGGGTGGGGGGGGGGGGGGGGGGAGGGGCCAGGCCTCCCAGGCTCCGAGATGCTCCACGCCCAGCGCCCCCCCCCCCGAACGAGAGGCCTGCGCCCCCCGAGGAGTGGCCGTCCGCGCTCCCTCCGGCCGGGCCCCCGCCTGCCGCCGCGGCCGGCGCCGACGCACCGCGCGAGGGCCAGCGCGAGCACGGCGCCTGCGCTCCGACCGGCCACGTGGGCCGATTCCTCTCGGAGCCGCCGCACGGCTGGCACCTGCAGGGGCACCGGGAGTCTTATGCGGCCTGCGCGGCGGCTGGGCACGAGGGCGGGTTCGCGAACGTCGCGTGGAACAAGGGCTCCTCCTACTTTGGCGACTGCTACGCGATCAAGGAGCGACGGGCAGAAACAGCACGAGACAAGCACATGGATACGCACAGCTAGGTAATGAACATGTGTTTTCACGGGGTGAAGTCATGCGAACAACCGATTTAAGATGCCCGGGGTATCGCAGCGCCCCGCAGGGAAGCGGTTCGTCGTCGTCGTCGTCGTCGCTGTCGAGGCCGCCAGGCCGCAGCCATCGACCCTGACGATAGTTAATTATCGTGAAGGCCTGACGGCCAGTGCCGCTGACCCTGAAAGACATCGACAACGACCAGGAGAGGGAGGAGGAGGAGAAGGAGGAGGAGGAGGAGGAAGAGGAGGAGGAGGAGGAGGAGGGAGGGAGGAGGAGGAGGAGGGAGGAGGCGGAATGATGATGAGGAGGGAGGAGGAGGAGGAGGAGGAGGAGAGGAGGAGGAGGAGGAGGAGGAGGAGGAGGAGGAGGAAGGAGGAGGAGGAGCAGGAGGGAGGAGGAGGAGGAGGAAAAGGATTCACCCCTGGGACCCCACCCCTTGGGGAAGAGGACCGGAGGATACCCGGCGTGGGTGGGGACGGGAGGGGGAGGAGGACCCCCAGGGACGGATGCGCATCTGACTCCCCTCCCCCCCTGGGGCTCCTCCCCACCTGGGGAGGAGGACCCGAAGAGGACCGGCGCGCCGGAGAGGGGCCTGCGTGGGAGAGGAGGACCCCAGAGGCGATGCGAATCTGACTCCCCCGCCCGGGGACCTCCCCTTTTCCCGCCGTGGACGGGACAAAGGACAGGGGCTTCCCTTTGACGTATTAAGGACGTGGACGGAATCCCCTCACGCTGCGAGCCCGCTTCGCGAACGAGAAAGTGAGCTCTCTCTCTCTCTCTTTTTTTTGTTTTTTTTTTTTTTCTCTCTCTATCTCTCTCTCTCTCTCCCCCGACGGGAGAGGAACCTGCGAAGGAGGGGGCGAATAAAGGATCCCCGTCGATGAGACCGGACAGACCCCACGCACGCCGACAGGGTCGGCGGATTTTCTAATCGTTCTTACATCATGTGCTTTGTTGTAATTGGCTTAAGCCGCCACGGCCCAAGCCGCCGAAGGCCCCCGATCAGGAACCCTGCCCAGGTTGGGTTCCGTTTGTACCTTATCTCTTCACCATGCGTGCTTCCACTTCCCATCTCCCGCCTTTCCCCGCTCAGGCGCCCAATTGCTGCTGCCGCATGGTGGACTTGCAGGTGGGCGTTGCTGCTAACCCCGGTGCGGCCTAGACGATGGCCGAGCCGGCCGTGGCTGCTGGCCCCGCGCCGCCGCCAGGCCCCCCGCAGGAGCTTTCCGCCCAGTCCATGTTCGCGGAGCTGATCGAGCACGAGGTGTTGGCGAATTTCGCGATCGTGCAGGCGGCGCACCGGGGGTCGACGGCCAGATGGTCGTGCCCCTCTCTTTGGACTCGCGCTCGGAGTCCTCGCCGCTGTCGACGCGTGGAGCATCCTCTGCCTCTCGCCACTGGAGGGTCCAGTCCCCGCAGTGAGCACCATCGAGGCCCGCTTCCGCTTTGCCCAGCTGTTCGCCTCCATGATCGACACCGCGCCATGGCCACCGGCTGAGAAGGCAGGGGCGCGCGGGGACATTGAGAATATCACCCAGGCGGCCACGACCTGCTTTTCCTCCTTCGACGCCTGGCTCAGGGAACGCAAGCGGATTCGCCCATCGAGGCTCTGCTTTTGGCACTAGCTCGGCAGCTGCGCCCTCCTCGCGGGCCTCGACGCTGCCCGGGCACCTCCTATGTTGTCTGCACCCAGTGGCCCACCCTCCCGGACAACCGCGATCCCGCCGACCGCCCAGTGCCAGGGCCGGATCGCGCCCGCGAGCGTGGCCCACATCCTCGCCGAATTGGCGGGAACAGGCGACGCCTCCATTCTGGGGCGTGGTCAGGACGAGGGGCGAACCGCTCTCGCTCTGGGCCCCCGCTGGCACCTCGGCGCTCGGCCGCTTGCTGGCCTCGCTCTTGCGCCGCTAATCGAATGAAGTGACGTGCCAATGCGTCCGCTTCATCGCCCCCTTTGGACCTCCATCCAGGCTGTTCCGCAAGCGAAGCGATTTGCGACCTGTGGTGGCGCGACCACCTGGGCGAACATTGGGCGGCGATGGTTCGGAACGTCCAGTGCCGCCCGCAGCCCGCGGGGTACGTCTCCCCATGGCCCTCGGGGCCCCGTCGCGAGCTCGGGGGCCTAGCAATCTTCGCGGTCTCCTCCGCGCTCCTCCGCCAAAAACACCAGGTGCGCGAGCTGGGGTCGCTCGTTCTCGCAATGGGGGCTCTTCCGACCTACGCCGTGGACTTCCCCTCGGCCTTCGGGGCGGGAATCGCGCATGCGTTGTCCGCCGCTGCCGGCCCGTCGGCGCAGACCGGGCGGATCTGCCGCAGCCGAAGGAATTTGCAGGAAACCCCGCGGGGCAGGGTGGAGATTCGGTTTGCCCTCCGCGCGCCCCGCCTGGCGCGGGAGCTGCATATGCGCCGGGTCCGTCGTCTCCTGCCACTGGCGCGCGCGTCGCCTTCCAGGGCCTGTTCGCCGACGCCGGTGCCCTGATCGCAGCAGAGCTCGGCTACGCGGGCGCCGTCGGCTCGATCTGGAACCTCTGCCCAGGAGCCTTGTTCTGCAGCAAGGATCGACTCTTCGTCGCCGCGGAGGCCGCCGCCGAGACGCGGCAGGCGGCGAAGGGCCCCCTCGTGCGCAGCGACCTTGACGCCGCCGTTTACAAGCTGAATGAAGCGCCGCCCCTCGCGCCATGGGGGGCGGTCGTTCTCGCCCCCGTCTGCGCTGCTTGCGCGGGTCGCGGCCGCCCGCCGCGCCGGGAACTCTGGGGGGCCCCCCCGACGGTCGACGCCGTCGCGGACGTCGCGATCGCAGGCCGCGTCCGCGCCGACGATCGCGCCCTTGCCCGCCACCTCGCGGCCCACCTGGCCCCTCAGACAGGCCTCCGGCTGATCGAGCAGCCAGGCGGCCTGGGCGGCAAGATCGGCACTGGGAAGTGGATTGCAATCGCGGGCCCGGCAGCGCCGCCTGGCCGACCTCGCCCGTTCCTCAAGGCGTCTCCGAGGCGGCGCGGGCCCGGGCAGCTCTTCGCGACAAAACCATCAAGATCGGTATGGACACGTTCCGCTTCCAGGGCCGCAACGGCTTGCGGGGTCGGCGGCGGGGCGGTGGCGCCGCCGTTCGGGCCATCGACGGCCTGGGGTGCATGCTCCTCGTGCCGGGCGTCGCACTGCGCCTCCCTGGCCCCCCTGCAGCCCGCGAGCCACAGAGGCCGCGCCAGTGCCGATGTGGATTCGATTGCCGCCGCCGCCGACTCTTGTCTGCCGCCTATCTTCTCATCCCCGCTTGTGCGACGTCCCGCTTTCGATCCGCCGGCGTGCGCTCGTCCGCCGAGCGATTGGCCCTTCGCCGCCGACCTTCCTTGCGGCGCCTGCGACGGGCGCGTCCAGCCGGGGCGTCTGCGCAGGGGGCGACTCGTTGAGAACGCCGTCCGGCGCAGCAGCGGGTCGGGCAATCTCGAGCGACGTCTTCGCCAGCGCGACGTAGTTGTGACGGCGGAGTGCCGCGGCGCCGCGGGCTCCGCGCAGCTGGCCGCGGCCCCGCGCGGTCTTTGGGCTTGGTGGGCCCCGGGGTCGACGCGTCGCAGAGGAGTCGGCGCGGCGGTCAAGAAGTCTTTCTTGGTGCATTATCCTCGCCGCGACCGGGTCCGTTTACGACCTGGGCCGCGCCGCTGCCCTCAGACCTCGCGTTTGGCGCCCCCGCCAAAACCTGCATCTGACGAGCCTGTCTCGCTAGGGGCGATCTGTCGCCCAGGCTGGGCGCAGGCCGCGGCAGACCCTCGGCGGGGGGGATTCCGCTGCGAACGCCGCGCAGCGCCTGGCCCCCCTGCGCGCGGTCATCCGCGACGCGGCGACCGACGGGGGCCCCGTGCAGCGCGCGGCCCGCGTGGATTCCCTGGGCGACTGGATGGGTGGCGCCGTGGCGTTCGCCTGGGCAGTCGAGTCCCATTCCGCCTCCGCGAGCCCGACCCGCGCGGCCCCGCGCTGGCCGCTGGGCGCGGCGCCCCCCTGCCCGCGCGCGCGCAGTGGAGTTGGCTGGCGCCCGCGTGATCGCGGTGCTCGCGAGGCTGCGCGAGGAGTCGCCCGACGCACCCCATGGTCTTGCGCCGTGCTCGTTGCAGGAACCCGCGCCCTCTTCCTCGCCTTTCGCCTGGCGGGGGCGCCTTCGCGCGGGCCGCCCGGGGCGAGCGCGGCGCGCTGCGCGCGCCGCCGACGCGGCCGCGGGCGTCAGCCGCCGCTGGATGAAGGTCTTCGCCGCGGGGTCTGCGGATCGAGCATTCCGTCGCCGATGGATCGAAGAGGATCTGCCGTCTGATGTCCGTGCTTCCCTGCAGCCCCCTGCGGGCTCTCCCCAGTGGCTGGCGCGGCGCGACGACGTCAAGAAGGTGATCCGGTGCGCTGGGTCATCGGCTCCTGGCCCTGGCGGGGCGCCCGCGGAGGCTTGCCGACAGCTGGGCGAGCTCGGCGTCGACGTCTTCCACGAGGCCTTCGCCTGCCTCTCCAGCTCCAGCGGCAAGGGTCTCCAGCGTCGCCATCTCCCCGACATCGGCTTCTCCCCCGTGTCTCTGTGGCCCAAGATGGGGCCCGGTTACGACGGGGCCATTGAGCATTTTTACGCCGCGGACAAGGTGCGCCAAATTGGCGTTGCCAGTTTCGACGATCGCATCCTTGCGCGCGCTGCCTCTTCCAGCGCTGGGTCCTTCAGGTGCAGCCGGGCTTTGTTGGGGGGCGCTCGTTGCTGGCCGACGCAATCGGCGTCGGTGCGGAGACGCGGCTCGCCGCGCTTTCGCAAGAGGGCGGGGCGTGAATATTCTTCGATGTGCCGGCAGCGTTCCCGTCGATCGACTAGTCGTTCATGATGGAGCTGTTGAGTTGGATCGGCGCCCCGCTGCGCCCGCGCCGGTTCGTCGCCGCCCTATGCCGCGACAACATCTGCCAGATGGTGGCGGGGTGGCGCATGTTCGAGGGCTTCGCTGTCGGCGGGCGCCCAATTGGGATGCCCGCTGCCGCCGCAGCATTTCGCCGACCTCCTCCTCCGCTGTCTCCGCCGGTTCCTCCCCGCCGCGACCCCGAGGGCGCGCGCCGACGACCTCGCCCTCGTCGCGCCGCGCCCCCTCCGAGACCCCCCGCAGCTGGAGGAGCTTCTCCGCGAGTGTGCGACGATCTCCCACCTCGAGCTCACCGCGGGCAAGTCGGTTGTCGCGCCCCTGCGCCAAGTCGCTCTGCGCGAGCGCCGGGGCGCGATCGCCGCGCGCGTGCCTCAGTGGGGCGCCATGAAGATTGCGGTCGCTGCGAAGTACCTCGGCTTCGCCCTCGGCCCCAATAGCGAGGGCATCTCATGGCGCAAACCGTTGGGGAAATTTTGCGATAGGGACGTCGTGTGGGGAAGGTCGTCTGCGGCCCGCGCTGCTCGCGGCCGGAATGTGCCTCGCGTCTGTGCTTGGGTTCGCGGCGCAGCTTCTCCCCGCCCCGCCAGAGTGGCCCGCTGTCGAGCGCCGGGCGGTCGCCCGTCTGTCCCAGGGCCCGCGCGGGTGGATCTCGCCGTCTTTTCTGCGAGACCTGTGTCCGATGGGGGGTTTCTTGCAGCGCTCTGGACCTCGCGGTGCTCTCGCTTGCGGCTCGTTTTCGCGTGGCCCAGCGCGAAGCGAGGAACGAGTGCGGCCTCCAGACGGCGCGCCGTGCCCGCGAGCTACGAGCGGCTATGGCAGACTCCGATTTCCCACTCCGACGGGCGACTTGGGATGGCTGGTTCAACGGCGCGGCGACCTTGCACCTGTGCGCCGCCGTGTCGCGCTGCGAGTTTCGAAAGTGGCTCGCGCCCTGGGTGCGGGAGCGCGTTGAGGGCGTCGCCGGCGCGGTGCTCGACGACGCCGACCGCGCCACCAAGCGTCGCAAGATGTGGCGGCCGACCTGTCTGTCCATCCCGCGGGAGACGGCGACGGAGGCTTCTGAGCGCCGCAAGGCAGAGCCGCCCTCCTGCACAGGCCAGCGCTTTCAGCGGCGCGGTTCCCGATGCGTGTTCGGGTGCGCCCGCGGGGACCCCGTTGAACATCATTCAGTGGTGCGGGATTTCGCGTGGCGGAGCCTCGCCATCACTCGCTTCGAGGTCCCGCTTTCTGATTTCCTCCTCCTAACCTCCTCGCCTTTGAGCCTGCCCGCTGACTGCGGCCTGCGTTCGACTGCTCGCAAGGCGGCGGCTTGCTGCGCGCACTGCCGCGCGGGGCGCGCCGCCGTGGCCGGCGCCCCCACCGCGGCCACGCTTGGCCAGATTGCTTTGCAGCTCGTCCGCGGGCAGCCGGCCGAGGTCGCCATGGCGCAAGCCGCGCGGGATCGCGAGCCCAGCCGCGCCGTCGGAGGCGGCCGTAGCTTTATCGACGCCGTTTTCGGGGCCCTCCTGTCTCTTCGTGGTCCTCTTCCTCCTCCTCTCCCTCCTCCCTTCCCTCTTCCTCTCTGCCTGCGATCGTGCCCGGCCGCCGCCGCTGCGACAAATGGCGCGCGGTGATCTGTGCCGTGTCGAACCTGCATGATTTGCGCCATGTTCCGCATCGGCGCGCCAGGATTCAACGCGGCATGCCGCCGCGCATTTTTGATGTGCCGTGTCGCATGTTTTTGCGACCTCACTGTCCCGGCCGCGTGGCCGATGGATGTCTGGGCGCGCCGCGCCCGACAGTCGATTGGAGTTTTCCCCCTCGCTCCTCCCTTTTTCTCGCTTCCGGAGGCGGTGCGCCAGCTGACCCTGCTGGGGTGGGTTTGCTTTCCGTTTCCTCTATTGGTGCAACTCCACGGCTGGGCAAATTCGTGCAGTTCTTTAGACGGCCTGGGCTATTTGTTCGTCTCGTCAAGTTCTTTTCTCCTGTCTCCCTGTCGCTGCCGCCGCTTTTTTGTTTGTTTTTTCCGTTCGTCATTGTGATTGTTCGCTAGATTCGTTTTGGCTGGAGCCGCGCCCGGGGGGGATTTCCAAGTGCTTGGGGATGACTGGTCTTCGTTTCTTACAGGCTGGTCTTTTGGGTGGGCCGCTGGCGCCATCGAGTTTTGAAAGCAGGATTGCGGTAGACAGCAGGTCAATCGTGGGGGTGGCGGCCTGTCCTCGTTTTGAGCTTGGCCCCTGCCGCAGCTCTCTCCTCTCTTCCTTTTCCTTGTCCTTCTCTTCCTCCTCCTCCTCCTCTTCGCTCCCTTTCGGTGCTGATGCGTTTAACACTTAAACCGTTTCGAGTCATGCTCCTTCTCCACATTTTGGGGCTGCGTTTCGTGACGCGGCTACTCTTATTTTTGGTATACAATTCCGGGCGATACCAGCCTTTCCCTTTTCAAACCGATTCGTGGTGGGACGGGCGTATCTCCGGGCGCAGGGTGTCGTTACAACACGTTGCCGCCTTTGCTGCGTGTAGTGTTGCGAGGATCCTGTTTAGGAGTTGTACTGGTTCTTCGATCGCGCGGAGGAAAAATGCGTTTTTTTCCACCCACATCCAAAGTGGGATTCTCGTTTTCATGGAACACCCCGCGCAAAAACAAAAACACATACCCACTTTTCTTCTTTAGTCGCACACTCATTCATGCACCCACACACGACATCACGCCCACCTACTCGCTCACCCACCCACTCGCCCTTTCGCACACACACAGACACATTTAATCACCCATTACACACATTCATCATCATCATCATCATCATCATCATCGTCATCATCACTCACTTACTCACTCACTCACTCACTCACTCACTCACTCACTCACTCACTCACTCACTCACGCACTCACCCCCTCACTCACCCACCTACCCGCCCTCTCACTCACTCACTCACTCACATTTCATCATTGTCTACATCATCATCACCATCGTCATGCTCATCATCATCATTATCATCATCATCGTCATTTCACCCATTCACTCACTCACTCAGGCACTCACTTACTCATCTCAGGAGGGAGCCTCTTCTGTGAGTGAAGTGCGAGGAAGTCTCAGGCGGGAGCCCCCTACCTGTCGGGCCCGCAGATCATGTGACTGAACCGAGCGGGTCATCGGAACCCTGAAACTGTGGTCACTTTTGGGCTCCCGAGGCCTGAATCTGGGGGAAGAATCAGGCGGGATCATCGTCTGTGAATGAATGGCGACGAAATCTCAGGCGGGAGCCTCCTCCTCATGGGGCCCGCAGATTCTGTCATTGATCAGATCGTGTCATCGGAAACCTATACTTGTGTCGTGTGCTTTGGGCTCCTGAAGCTGGAAACTTTGGGAAGTATCAAACGGGAGCCTTGTCTGTGTGTGAATGGCGAGGAAGTCTCAGGCGGAAGCCCCCATGGGGCCCGCAGATCATGTTACTAATCCGAGCGGGTCGTCGGAACCGTTTAACTGTCGTCAATTTTGGGCATATGGGAGAAGTATCAGGCGGGAGCTTCGTCTGTGAGCGAATGGCGAGGAAGTCTCAGGCGGGAGCCTCACCCGTATGGGGCCCGCATATCATTTTATCAACCAGAGCGGGCCATCGGACACCTGTCGCTGTCGTCAGTTTGGGGTTCCTGCGGCTTGAAGATGAGGAAGTAGCAGGTGGGAGCCCCGTCTGTGAGCGAATGGCGAGGAAGTCTCAGGCGGGAGCCTCACCCTTATGGGGCCCGCATATCATTTTATTCATCAGAGCGGGTCGTCGGAACCCTGTAACTGTCGTCATTTTGGGGCTCCAGAGGCCTGAATGTTTGGGAAGGATGAGGCGGGAGCCTTTTCTGTGAGTGGATGAGCTGGTCGTCGGCAAATTGTGTGACTGCCATGGGCCCACGTGCCCCAAATAGCGTAGGGCACAAGGGCGATCGATGAGCTGACGACGACGACGAGACAGCGGCTGGGCGCAGGGGTAACCTCTTGTGTCCGGGCCGGGGGTGGTACCCCGTCCTCGGCCGAATCGGGGACAGGGGTAACCCCCTTGTCTCCAGGCCGCCAGTGGTAATCCATCGGCGGCCGAATCGGGCGCAAGGGTAACCTCTTGTGTCCAGGCCAGGGGTGGTAACCATCCTCGGCCGAATCGGGGACAGGGGTAACCCCTTGTCTCCGAGCTGCCGGTGGAAGGCGGAGGAGGCGGAGGAAGAGGATGAAGAGGAGGAGAAGGAGGAGGCGGAAGAGCAAGAGGATAAGACATGCAACGAGTAGGACGAGAATGAACAGGAGGAAGAGAAGGATGAAAAGGAAGGGGAGGAGGAGGAGGAGGACGCAGAGGGCGGAAGGAAGGCCTCCGCCAGACGAAGAATACAAGGGCGAGGGACAAGCTAAATAGATTCTCCCGTGGGGTTCTACAGTCGGAGCACTTTGTTTTGTTATAGTCGTTTGTTCGCAGTGGGGATGTCTGTGCAGCGTCGGCGAGAGGCTTCGGGAGCCAGTGGGGGCGCCCCTGCTGCCCGCAGGACGACATGCCCTCGAGCAACTCTGGGGACTGTGCCGACTACTGCTGGGTCTTTGGGGCCGCGTGCAAGCCGGTGTTGTCCGATGCAGCCGGCCAGGCGCAGACGACGGCGCAGCGGCAGCTGCAGGTGGTGCCCACCGAGCCGCCGCAGCCGCAGCCCCCTCGGCAGCCGCAGCCCCAGCCGCAGATGCAGCGTGTCGTCGACGAGCGTCCGCAGGCCACTGAGCAGTCTGGCGATCAGCCCGGCGAGCCCGAAGCCGACCTGAGGGCGGGAGCGCGGCCGCATTCCGATGCGCAGCCAGCCGCGCAGGTGCAGGCCAGGCCGCAAGTGCCGCCGCCCTACAGTCCCAGCCCCGCGGTGGAGGCCCAGCCGCGGCAGTCCCAGCCACCGCCTCGCGAGCTCCTGGGCCAGCCCGGCGAGGGCTTCTGCGCGGGCCCGCCGCTGTACGACGGGCCCACTACGGGCTGGGAGGACCACGGAGCAAGCATTCCCCGATGCCCTTGAGACCGTGGGAGAGGGGGGGCCTCTGCAAGCACTTGGTGCCAGGCGTCATGAGATGTGTCCAGGGCCCGAGACGCCTCCAACGCTGGCCACAGTCAGCTCTGCCCTGCACTTCGGCGGCTCTCCAGGTCCCTCTCTCTCTGTATCTTCTGTCACTCTCTCTCTCTCTTTCTCCTCTCTCTCCTCTCCTCTCCTCTCCTCTCCTACGGTTCGATCTCTTCTCTTATCTTCTCTTGTCTCTCTTCCTCTCTTTCTCTCCATCTTCTCTCCTTCTCTGTCTTCTTTCCATTCTCTCTCCTTCTTTTGCTTGTTGTTGTTTGTGTGCTTCATTTCTCTGCCTCTCTCCCTCTCTCTTTTCCTTTCTGCTCTATATCTCTCTCTCTCTTTACCTTTCTCTCTCTCCCCCGCTCTCGCTCTTGCTCTCTCTCTCTCTCTCGTTTTATCCATCTCTCTACATGTACCCAGACATCCGATGTCTTGCTTTTATCTATTGGCCTTCGGCCCATGCCGGTACCGTGCCTGGGTTGTAGGTCTGAGGCCTCTCGGTCGTTCGTTGGGATATCGTCGAGGCCTCTCGGGGGCCTCCAGGGGGCAGTTTTGCGGCCTCTGGGGGCTGTTTTGGAGGCTCTTGTGGCTTGGGCCTCTTGGGGGTCTCTTTGGGCCTCTTGGGTGCCTCTTGGGCTGGAAGGCTTGGATGTTCGGTTCCCCCTATTGGGCCCCTCTTGGGGCCGTCTTGGGCGCCTCTTCGGCCGTCGTGTGGCCCTCTGGGTCGTCTTAGGGCGGTCTTGAGGTCTTCTTGGGACTTCATGGAGCGTCGGAAGCTCGAACAGCGGAGAACCCCAAGAACATCCAAAGCCTAGTGAAAATCAATGATTTTGGCCTCTCGGGGCCCTCATGGGAAGGCTTTTTGGGCTCTCTTGGGGCTCTCGAAGGCTCCTTGGGCCGTTTTGGGGCCATCTCGAGCGTCTTGGAGGCTTGTGCGGCGATTCGGGACACCCTGGGACCATCTGGGCGGCCCTTTTGGAACCCTCTTGGCCCCTTCTAGGGCCCTCCTGGCTCTGAAAAAGTCATTCCGGAGGGAAAGAAACACACAGACACTATTAATCGTCGACTCCCAGGAAAATATGGGAAAATATGGGAAGTGGGGGGGAAGACAGAAACCTAGAAAATATGGACAAATATGGAGATTCCTGTTATTTGTGTGTATTTATTTGTGTGTTTGTGGGCCCCTTCAGTCATGCGGGAACACTCCCGTGAGCCAACAGAGCACGCGCCAAGACCTTCGTGAGTTCGAGGCCCGGGCCCCTATTGAAGAATCCTTCGCGTCGCGGACTGGGGCTTCAGCAGGGGGCCTCATGCGAACCCTACCCCTACCCCCCACGATTTCTGAGGGGGAGGGTGGGGTTCACTTCCTTCTGGGAGTTCCCGAGCGAGGTGAACCCCACCCTCCCCCTCAGAAATCGTGGGGGGTAGGGGTTGGGGTTCGCGTGAGGCCCCCTATCTTGGCCCCTTCTGAGGCCCTCTTGGCTCTGCAAAAATCCTGCGGGAGCACTCCGGTGAGCCAACAGGGCACGCGCCAAGACCCTCGTGAGTTCGAGGCCCGGGCCCCTCTTTCAGAGTCCTTCGCGTCGCGGACTGGGGAGTCCTTTCTAAGAATCCTTTTAGATAGTCCTTTTTAAATAATCTTTTTCCAAGAATCCTTCGCGGGCCCATTTTTAAGAGTCCTTTTTAAGAATCCTGAGGCGCGTGCCCCTTTTTAAGACTCCTTCTGCTTGAAGAATCCTTCGCTTCAGGCATCGGGCCGAGGACCCGAGGGCACTCCAGCCCGTGCCTCGGGGCGCAGCGGCGGGGAGCTCCCGAGCGAAGTGAACCCCGCCCTCCCCCTCGGAAATCGCGGGGGGTAGGGGTAGGGCTCGCGTGTGGCCCCCCAGTTTGAGGCCCGGGCTCCTCTTTAAGAACCCTTCGCGCCGCGGCCTGGGGCTCCGGGGATCGGGCCTAGGACCCGAGGGCGCTCCGGCCCGTGCCGCACCCTGATGGTCCGCTACCGAAAATTTCCGGTAGCGCTCCGCAGAGATCGGTCGTTACCGAAATACCGAAATGTAGCGCCCAATACTGGTATCAGGCCGTTCTGAAATCCGCTATTTCAACGCCCTCAAACGAAGACCCGGTCGCTACCGAAATTCGGGGTGCGTCGAAATCGCTACCGAAAATTTCCGGTACCAGACCATCTGGGCAGGGGCGCAGCTGGCGGATCGAAAGTGCGGGCTCCCCTGGGAGGTCCCCGCCCTCCCGCCGGGGCCGGCGCTCTGCCGCCCCGGGGGTCGTGCCGAGTCGGCGGCAGCCGGGGCGGGGCGAGGGGGCGCTCCCCCCCGCGGAGGCCGAGAGGGCGCCCACGCGCCCGTGGGGGCGTCTCTCTCTCTCTCTCGGCACGCGGGCACGGCGGTCGTGGGCACCGTCGGGGCGTTGGCTTTACAGGGCAGGTTTTAATACATTCAGGAGGAGAAAAAACACACAGACACAATTAATCGTCGATTCCTCAGAAAATATGGGAAAATATGGGAAGTGGGGGGGAAGACGAAAACCCAGAAAATATGGGACAATATGGGGGATATTTTTATTTGTGTGTATTTATTTGTGTGTTCCAGTTCCCCTTCATACATGGGAGTTAAAACAACATCGGATTTTAGTACATGGTCAATTTAGGAATGCATGTATGCATGAACTCTTCGTTGCTGTTAACACTGGGTCCCTGCATTTTGAATACAGGAGATCCGCACGCGGAGCATGTATAACAAAAGGCACAGTGCCGTTTTTGATACATGCTCCGCGTGCGGATCTCATGTATCTAAAATGCAGGGATCTCGTATTAATAGCAACGATGAGTTCATGCATACATTTATTCATACATTGATCATGTATTCAACATCCTATATTTTCAAAGTCCCATGTATTGAAATCTGCCCTGTAGGGAACCCTAGAAATAAGGAACGAGGCCCCGTTTTCTCAGAAGCCAAACTTCGGTTTCCCATGGAGAACCTCAGGAGCACCCGAGGCAGACCGTAACACAATCAAGGGACACCGAGCCCCTCCCCAACGAAAAATGTTCCCTCTTCGGCGCCGGGAGAGTGTTTTTTTTTTGTTTTGCCCTCTGGACCATAACGCGCGTTATTCAGGAGGGAAAAAAACACACAGACACAATTAATCGTCGACTCCCAGGAAAATATAGGAAAATATGGGGATTGGGGGGAAGACAAAAACCCAGAACATATGGGAAAATATGGGGAATATTTTTATTTGTGTGTATTTATTTGTGTGTCCTGGGGCCCCTTCAGTTATGCCCTTACGTACCCTCCCCCCCCACGACGTAACGCTCCCCCGCGCAGTGCGTCCCGGGCACTGCCGCAGTGCGTCCAGCACCACAGGCTTGGGGGGGATGTGCTACGTGACGACCCCCCCGTCCCCCTCCATCCCCCCCCGAACGCGCGTTATGGTCGCGGTCCCTAAGGGCTTGTCGACTTTTCGCCAATCGACTTGTGAGAATCGAGCCAGATAAACCCAGGTAAATGCAGATAAATCGAGGTAAATCCAGGTAAATCTAGATAAATCCGGGTAAATCCAGGTAAATCCAGAGATCTCCAGGGAAAGTTCGAGCACTTCGCGGCCGCTCCAGCGCGAGTCGAAGGACGGCAGAAGTCGTTAAGCCTTTAACGAGTGAAGGGAGGAAATCCGCTCAAGGTTGAACGACCCCCGCGGTGTCAGAGACCAACGCCGAGGTCGGCACGGCACGAACCCGCCGTCTGTGGAGCACAGTCTTTTCGTGTATGGTCAAGTTGCGTAATAAGGATCAGCAGCTTTCCAAGGCTACCCTTGCCTCCGTGCCCCTTCGGGCCATCCTGGGCGACTATCGCCGGCCAGTCCCGTTTTCGAAAACGCCGACATGGCCCTCCAAGGCCCCTGCATCCTTGCCGCGCATCCTTATCATGCGAACTTGACTGTGTGTGCCCGTGCCGCCCGTCTTGGGCTCCTCCCCAGCGGCGCCCCCGAGGACTGCCGCACGAGGTGCGACGTCGTCGGCTGCAGGTTCATGAGGGGTGTATATATATATAGAGAGAGAGAGAGAGAGAGAGAGAGAGAGAGAGAGAGAAAGAAAGAGAGAGAGAGAGATCTGTGTCTCCCTGGGCCCCTTCAAGAGAGCACGGCGAAACCTGAAGAGGACCCAGCTGGGGTAAGCCCGGGCTCCCCTTGGCCGGGGGGACGCACAAATCCATGGATCCCCGATGCTCTTTTCATATTTTCTGGATGTTCGTCTTCACCTCCAATTCCTACATTTTCTCATATGCTCCTGGGCATCGACGCTCACTTGTGTCTACATCTATTTTTCCTCCTGAGTCCTCTCTGCCGCGGGGGTGGGGCCGGGGGCCATCCCCCCGTTTTGTGGATCTGCGCCGAGTCTTGTCGTCGTCGTCGTTGTTGTTGTTCGTCGTCGTCCTCGTCCTCGTTCTCGTTGTCCTCGTCGTCGCCGTCGTCCTCGTCGTCGTCGTCGTCCGTCGTCGTCGTCGTCGTCGTCGTCGCGTTCGTCCTCGTCGTCATTGTCGTCGCCTTCTCTGTTTTTGTCGTCGGCTCTGTCGTCGTGCTTCTCGTCGCCGTCGTTGTCGCCCTTGTCGTCGCGCTTGTCGTTGTCGTCATAAATATATATGTCTGTCTGTCTGTCTGTCTGTATGTATGTATGTATGTATACATATACACGTACACATACATATACATATACATATGCACCTGCATAGACACATGCATATGTATATACATATACGTATGATATACATATGCATATGCACATACATACACATACGCATATACACATAATATACATATACATTTGCATTTACATATACCTATACATACACACATGCACATACACATACTTACACATACACACATACACAACACACAATGCACATGCACATACATTTTCACACCCATATGCATATACATGTACTCATACATAGACATCGACATAGGCATGTACACATACATTTACACATACATATACACACATACATACACATCGTACATATACATCATACATGTACAACATACATTCGCACATCCATCATACATGTACATTTGTATGTACATATACATATACATATGCATATACATATACAATTCCATGCACGCATCAACATACACAAACACATACACACATACACACATCGGAGGTTGGGGGGTGAGATCGAAGTGGAACGGAGAGCCCCCCTACCGGGAAATCGATTTCGGTTTCGTGTTCGTGCGTGCCGTGCGGGCGAGGCGAAGCTGCGTGGGCGGGCGAGAGAAAGTCTCCTGTGGCTGAGGCGCGGCCGGACCAAATGACTCCCTTCCGGGCGGCCGGGGCCCGCGGTGTCCCGCCGGTGTCCCGCTGGTGTCCCGTGTGGCTGAGGCGCGGCCGGACGAAATGATTCCCTTCCGGGCGGCCGGGGGCCCGCGGTGTCCCGCCGGTGTCCCGCTGGTGTCCCGTGTGGCTGAGGCGCGGCCGGACGAAATGATTCCCTTCCGGGCGGCCGGGGCGGCGCGGTGTCCCGCCGGTGTTCCGCCGGTGTCCCGTCCGTGTCCCGTCGGTGTCCCGATGATGATGTTGATGATGATTATGATGATGATTCTGATGATGATGGTGATGATGATGATGGTGATATGATGATGATGATGTGATGATGATGATGATGATGATGATGATGATGATGATGATGATGATGATGATGATGATGATGATGATGTGATGATGATGATGATGATGATGATGATGATGATGATGATGATGATGATGATGATGATGATGATGATGATGATGATGATGTTGATGGTGATGTCGATGATGATGATGACGACGTGGACTCGCGGCTGTTGGTCGTGCCTTGCGCGACCGCCGTCCACAGGCAGGGCCCCGAGCACGTTGGGTCGGGGTCCGGGGGGCTCGGGTGTCCCAGGGGCCTTGGTGCGGGTGTCCCAGGGGCCTTGCGGGCCCGGGGGTCCTCGGCGCTCAGGGCCTCCCAGGGTGACGTAAAGAGCAAAGGGTACCAAGGCGCCAAAGAGCAAAGGGTGACGTAAACAACTCGACACCAACGCTCCCAAGAGCGAGCGGCAACGCAACTATCTCCACTGGCATTGTCACAACAACATTCACCACTGTTGCCCATTGCTGTGCCCCCCCCCCCAAACCTCCTTATCACCCGCAGGGTGGTCGTATAGGTATACATATACATATACACATACTTGCACACATACATATACATCTACATTTTCATCTACATACGTACAATCGTACATACATGCGTGTCCTCGTCGTCGCGCGTTGTGTATATTGCAAAGCAGAGTGACAGCCACTAGGCTTTCCCGCTCTCTGCGGTGCAACTTAAGTGACACGCAGAGAAGTGGGTTCGATTGAGAGGATGTTCGCGCGTAAGCTGCCCGCTTGAGGTCGTGCGTGAGCGCCCTTGTTTCCAATGCAACAATGCAGGGGTTCGCGCCGGCGGCCCGCGTAAGGCACCGCGTAAGGTCGCTATGCCACCTTGCGTAAGACCCGCTTCATTTTGTTGCCCTGTTGCCCATTTGACGAGTAGCGTAGAATGGTATGTTTTCCGCCCCCTCTGCGTTGCCACGTGGCGAGTAGAACCGCCTTCAGGGCTGCCATGTGATGCGCAATGCAGCATTTTATTTGTTTCCGCCCCCTGCTGTGCCACGCGACGAGCATGGTCGACGATCGAGGGCATGGTCTTTGAGTATTCTCTAGGACCTTTAAGGATTTGATTTTCAATGAAATCCAAACATGGGCTGGCGACTTATATGAATATAAATATTGATGTATATAAATATGAAAGGTATGTGCATGTGTATATATATATATATGTATATGTATATATACATATATACACATATATGTACAGATAAATCCCCATACCTTGTTGTGCCGCATGGCGAGTGCTGTAGGCTGGCGTTTCTCTCGCTCTTCACGGCGCAACGCGAGGAGTACAGTGGAGATCCAGAGGGCTCGACGTATTTCGTCAATTTTCCGTCGGGCCTCTGAAGATTCATTGGGGATCTCGGGCGCGCGAACGGGCGGGCGGACGGGCGAGCGGGCGGGCGGGCGCGCAGGCGGGCGGACGCGCGCGTGGCTCCTGCGGGCGAGCAGACGGGCGAGCAGGCGGGCGGCCGAGGGGGCGGGTGCGCGGGCGGGCGGACGCGCGGGCGGGCGGGCGGTCGCGCGGGCGGGCGGGCGGACAGGCCGGAGCGCGGGCGGGTGCGCGGGCGGGCAGACGGGCGCGCGGACGGGCGGCCGCGCGAGCCAGCGGGCGCGAGGGCTGGCGGGCGAGCGGGCGGGCGGGCGAGCGGGGAGGCGACCGGGCGTGCACCCAGGCGGGCGACCAGACGGACGATTGGACGGACGAGCTAGCGGGCGTGGGGGCGTGCGGGCCAGCGATCGGGAAAGCCCGCGGGCGGGCGGGCGGACAGGCGGCCGGGCGGGCGCGCGAAAGGTGCGCGGGCGGGTGGGTGAGCGGGCGGGCGGCCGGGCGGGCGGCCGGGCGGGCGGTTGCGCGGCCGCGCGCGGGCGAACGGGCGGGCGAGTGGGTGGGCGGGCGTGCGGACGAGCGGACGAGCGGGCGGGTGGCAGAGCGGGCGAGCGGGCGGGTGGCGGCGCGGGGTAGCGAGCGGGCGTACGGGCGGTGATTGGTATTGGTGGTGGTGGTGGTGGTCGTCGTCGTCATCGTTTTCGTCGTCGTCGTCGTCGTTGTCGTCGCCTTCGTTGTCGAACCATGTCGCATGTCCTTTTTGTCGCTCTTGTGGAGTACAGACGGATCTGATTTGTTTCTTTTTTTCCGTGTGTTGCCACGCGACAAGTCGAACAATATGTTCCTGCTCTTTGCGTTGCCGCGTGGCGATGCGTGGCTAGTGACGTAGAGTGGTACGTGGTGCTCGCCCCCCAAGGGCGGTGCCTTTTGACGGGTGAAGCAACATAGTGTGTGATTTCGCCTTTTTGCGTTGCCACATGACGAAACTACAATCGTACTTGTTCCGCCTCCTTGTGGTGCCACGCAGCTAGTCGAGAACAGTACTCCGTCTTCGCCCCCCCCCGCCCTCCCAGGCGTTGCCACTTGACGTGTCGAGCAACAAATTCTCAGTTTGTGCCCCCGTCCGTTCCCACGTGGCGAGTAGAGAAAATCACACGCACCTTTCTCTCAACGATTCCATGGGGTCTCTAGAACTCTTTATTCCTCAAGTCAGGACTCGTCCGTTCTCCAGAACCTGTGGGCTTGCCGTTCGGCTCCTCCGTAGCCACTTGATGGGCAGAACAAGACGCGATGTGTTTCCGCCCCCCTTCGTTGCCTCGTGACGAGTAACGTAGAACAGTAGGTTCTCCGCCCCCCAGTATCGCCATGTGGGGATAACAGTGCGGTAGCATGGCGTTCGCCTCCACGAGGCGTTGCCGTGTGACGGGGAAGTCGAATAGTATGCCGTCCAGTTCCCGGCGTTGCCACGCGAATCGAATATTTGCACAGTTTTTAGCCGGTTTTCCCACTAGGCATTGCCGTTTGACGAATGAGGTAAAATGGTATTGCTTCGGGCTGGGGAGGTCCACAGGTAGGGGCGCGAGTGTCCGCGGGCGCAAAAAGGGGGAGGGGTGTGGGGCGGCTTCCGACGGCGAGGTAAAAGGGAGGAGTGGTAGCTTGCAGGGGTGGCAGGGGGAAAGGGGGAGAGGGGGCGCTTCCGGCAGGGGTGGGCAAACGGGGGGGGAGGGGGGAGTTTCTGGAACGCGAAATACAGGAGGTATGGGGGGTTTCCGGCGTGGGAAATCGAAGGAAGGCACGGGGTAGCTTGCGGAGGGGATGGTGGGGTGGCAGCTCTTGTGGGGAAAAGGGGTCGGTGGGAGGGATTCCGACTGGGGAGGGTAGAATAGAGGGGGTGGCTCGCAGGAGTCGCATGAGGAAAGCGGGAGGGGCGGGGGGTCTTTCTGGCAGGGGAGCCAAAGGAGGGGCGGGGGGGGTAGCTTCTGTGGCGCGAGAAAACAGGGGACGGGAGGGAGGGTGTGTCGACTGGGGATGTGAAAGGGCGAGGTGTTGCTAAGGGCCCCCCCGGCCTTGCTCGGGCCCTGCTGGCGCGTTCTCTTTCATACTTTCGCTCTTTATTGCTCTAGGAGCAGAGGAGGGTAGGCAGACGTTTGATTCTGCTCCCGAGGTTCTGGAGCTACTGGCACAACTCCGGGCACCACTGGTGCAAGCTCACTTTACAGTGCGCCGAGCGCAGGCAGGATGGCCACTACACGATCAGCGCGTACCAGACGGTGAAGGCGCGCATCGCGCGGGGTGCTATAATCTCAAGGGAGGAAGAACCGCCACGACCCCAACAAGTGGCGTTTACCGAGCAGCCTTGGGCGTGGACTCGACAGCCCCGCACTGTTCGATCCCTTCCCCCGCTGCGTTTACTGAAGGGCTTCGCTTGTTTGGGTGCTCATTCTGGGGGCGTTTTTTCGGCCCTCTGTAACCGAAGGACAGATCCCGGCATGAGCACAAACTTCAGGAGGGAACAAACCACACAGACACAATGAATCGTCGATTCCCCAGAAGATATGGGAAACTATGGGAAGTGGGGGGGAAGACAAAAACCCTAGGAAACGCGGGAGAATATATGGGGAATCCTGTGACTTGTGTGTACTTACCTGTGTGTCCCAGGGCCCCTTCAAAACTTTCGGAACTCCGCGCGGCTCTGCGTGGCCTTCTCGGCCTGGCGCTGTTCGGCGGCGGGCGCGGGGGGGAAATGAGAAGGGGCGGGACTTCCGAGGCTTCTGAGAAGTTTCTGGACTTCTGAGAGGGCTTCTGAGAAGTTCTGTCTGCATTCGAAATAGGCCAAGGAGACCTCTCAGAAGTCCCCCGGACTTCTAAGAAGTCCCGCGGCCTTCTGAGAAGGCCTGCTCCTTCTCATTTCCCCCCTGGGCCCGCCGCCGAGCTGTGGCCGCCCCCTCTCTCACGGGCGCGCTGCGCTCTCCCGGGGCAGGGCGGTCCGGCGCCGCTCCCGGAAGAGTCCGCGCGGGCCTCCGGCAGCGCAGTTTTTGTGCCGTGCTTCCGTGCGCCCGCTGGTCGTCGAAGGCAGGCACTGCTTGACCTCCAGTCGGGGGAACGTAAGACCTGGGTTTGCCAGGACTGGGGTTCGCCATCGTTTTTTGACGACCGCGCCTCGGATTTTGACGAGGAGGAGTTTCGTGGGATGTCTGCAGCGGGAGGCCTCGTCAAAATGCAGGCTCGGCCTCGTCATTTTTTTGACGACCTCGTCGGGGATTTCCGAGTCCCCTGTACCCAGGTCTTACGTCCCCCTGATCCAGTAGGGGAACAAAGAGTAACATAAACATAAAAACTCGGAGGTCCGCGCGGATTTCTCGGATCGGCGCTGGACCCCCCTCCCCGGCGCGCGGGGCGCGCCAGGGGCGGCGCCGGAGGTGCCGCCGGGGGGCCCCGGCGCCGATCCGAGAAATCCACGCGTACCTCCGAGTTTTATGTTTATGTCACTTTTTGTTCCCCTAAGTCTGCTTGGGGCGCCTTCCTACGTCAAGAGTCCAGTGATTTTCCTTCTCCCCTCTGCACGGGGTGGGCGGAGACCCAACCTGCTCCCAAAGCTCAGGGCTTCACACCCAGGGAGGTCTCCCAGAGCGGACCGGCCGGGGCGACTCAGAGATGCAAAGACGGTGGTGCTTCGAGGGCGCCAGGCCTGGGAGCCATCCCCTCGGTCGCGCTTCGCGAGGTGCGCCGCAGGCGTGAGGGTCCGCCTGAGGCCTCATGAACAGCTGGGAGAGGCCGTCGGCCCATCGCCAGTTGACGGGGAAGATATCAGGAGGGCAAGCAACACACACAATCCATCCTCGATTCCCAGGAATATATGCGAAAATAAGGGAAGCGGGGGGAAGACGAAAATCCAAACCACGGGGGATCCTGTTATTTGTGTGTATTTCTTTGTTTGTCCCAGGGCCCCTTCAAGATAGGGGCAGCCTGGATGGGGAAGTGCGGGAGTACGGCACACGTGAAGGTCAACCCTGCGTGGTGGCCACGCGCAGAAGTCCGGGTGCGGAGTCTTCGAAGGGAGCGCGTGGAGGTCGGGAGGGGCCGTGCGCGAATGCCGGCCGCCTCTGCGCACATGTTTTTCCCACATCGGCAGGAGGCGCCGCTGCACCACCCTGCCCTCCCCGGCGGGAGGAGGGCCGGGGAGCCGTCTTCTCCTCGAGTTCGAAGAAGGACAAAGCGGCATACGCATGGGCTCTCGGAGTTCCGCGCTGGATTTCTTTGATCGCCGCTGGGACCCTCTGGCCGCCACTGGCGGCTTCTCCGTCGCCCCCCCTGGCGCGCTCCGCGAACCAGTCAGTGGTGGAAGCGGCTGCAGCGCAGATCTGAGAGGCCCGCGCCGAACTTCAACAGTTTCTGTGCATGTCGCTTGTGCTCTGTCAGTTTGTCCTGCATGCGGCTTGCACGAGGGAGCTAACAGCAACCCTAGCTCGGGAGGGGTACCCCTGTGTTCTTCGTGGTTGGGTTCACCACCTTGTACGGCGGCGGCATTGGATCTCAGGAACGTCTTCCTGGGGCCCAGACCCTGGCGCATTCGTTTAAGATGCGGCAGAGACGGAGCAAGTATATAATCCAAGTACGCATGCTTCTCCGATGTCTCGATCACAAAAAAATGTTTCAAGGCGAGGTGGGTGGCCCACGTTTGGCCGCCCATCGGTCGCGGGACCCTGGGCTCCGCATCGAAGGTCTCCTTATCTCTAACACCTCCACCGCAGTGCTGCAGTGGTCTCCGCTTGGGGCAGCTGCCAGGGGCCTGGAGCCTTCGGCAGAGGGGCTCGTGCTCTTGACCTGCGCTCGGGGGGCCCTGGTTTGACCCTCCGAGTCTGTGAGCAAGAACGTGGACTCTTCGCAGATCTCCGAAGCATTGTAGATTCGACGAGAAAAACAAGCGTGGGCTACAGCGATCCTGGTGTCCACCTCCTGCTCGAACCGTCAGGCCGCCACACGGGAGGAGGGCAGGGGAACCGTCTCTCCCCTGAGTCCTGAGCTTCTCGTGGGCTGTTTTTGGGTGCCCGTTGATTCTGTCGAAGCATCACCGTTGTGAATTCGGCAGCCGTGCCCAAAACGACCATGCCCGAAGCGATCATATCCAACACGACCAGTCTAAACTCGCAATTGCGGATTAGAGCGAGGGGGGCGGGCGCGGGGTGGGCCGCGTGTGGGTCGCGGGGTGTGTCGCGGGGTGGGTCGCGGAGGGGATGACGACAACAACAACAACAACAACGACAACAACAACAACAACAACAACAACAACAGCAACAACAACACCAACAACAACAACAACAACAACAGCAACATTCCTTGTTCAGATCTTCCGCTTTCATCTGCTCGTGTGTCAATCAACATGTATCTCCCAAGCCTCGATAACCGCCCTCTTCGTCTTTGATCGTTACGCTTTTGTGGGGTTGTTTTCCCCCCCTGCCGCATGTAATGAGCGCAGCTCCCATAACATGAAAACCATAAGATGAGGCAGGAAGGAAGTGGGCAAGAGGGGGAGAGGTTGAACACGGAGGACGAGAGGGATCAGCATGAGGTGACGAGATGGCAAGGAAGTCTCAGGCAAGAGCGCGGCTACTGAGTACATTATGAGAAACCCCGGGCGAGAGCCCGATTCCAGAGCGCTGAAAGGGCGATTCGTGAGTAAACCGTTAGGAAGTCTCAGGCGAGAGCGCGAATCCCGTGTAATTTGTGGCGACTTTTCATTTCAAAGTAATTGTTGTTGATCCCCCCTGCCCTGTGCGCATTGTTGTTTTTCAATTGAAGAGTTTTCCGGGGATTCGCACGTTGTTTTTCACAAGGGGAAGTCTTAGGCGTGAGAATGCGTTGCTGCCCCTCGACTTACAGCAACAGCAGCTCCCGCGTAACATGTCATGATAGTTTTTTCAAGATCGCGCTATCGTGCGGGATTTCCTCACAATTTATCCAGCAAGCGCGCTCTCGCGTGAGATTTCCTTACAATTTATTGAAGCGCCGCGCCCACGACACTCAGGAATCTCGCTCCCGCGTTGGATTTCCTGACGAAATACTTGGGATTCGCGCTGTCGCTAGAGACTGCCTCGCGATGGATGCAGGACTGACGCTTCAGTGAACCGCCCGCTCGACCCGGCCGCCTGGGCCCGCCTGCCCGACCCGCCCGGTAGGGTCCGCCCGCCCGATCCCCCCTGTATGGTTTTGCCGCTTGTTCTCCTGCTCCTGGCTTCCCTCCTAATCTCTCTCGTGCTCCGTCCTTCTTCCTCCCCCTTGTCCCTCCCTCCTCCCTTCCCTGGTTTCGCGGGCTGCGCCAGATAAGCGTGGCAGGCAAGGAATGTATACCCCCAAGGATGGGGGATACGACCGAAGACGAATACGACGGGTATCGAGGGTTTGGGATACACGTGATGAATGACATGCGCGCAGATGAGAGCGACAGTTTTAAACTGGCTGTGATTGTTGTTGAATGTTACTTATTGAGCAATTCTTATTGTTGAGCCCCCCCAAGCGCTTTGGCGCTCTCGCCTCGGCGCCGGTTACATTTTCATTGGAAATGAGGCTCACGCTCGAGCGGCTTGGGGGGGGCGCCAAAACCGCCCCCCCAAAAACAACAACGCTCTCGTTCGAGACTTCCTCCTTTTTCACTCAGGGCCCGTGCTCTGGGTCGCCGCCGAAAGCCGCCGTCCCAACAAAACCAGCGCTACCGCTCGGGACTTCCTCCCGTTTTACGCTGGACTGGCGCCCTGCTCTCTTTTGAATTGGCGCCGCCCCTAGCAACAACAACGCTGCCGCTCGAGACTTCCTCCCTTTAAGGCGGTGCCCCTCCTCGCCGCCGAAAAGCGCTGTCCCGACAAAACCAGCGCTTCCGCCCGAGATTTCCTCCCGTTTTACGCTGGACTGGCGCCCTACTCTCTTTTGAATTGGCGCCGCTCTCAGCAAAAACAACGCTCCCGCTCCAGGCGTCCTCCCTTTTTCCTCAGGACGGTGCTGTTCCTCGCCGCCGGCAGCCCCCGTCCTGACAAAACCACGGCTTTCGCTCGAGACTTCCTCCCTTATTACTCAAGGCTGTGTTCCTCAGCGCCGCCGACAGTCGCCGTCCCAACAAAACCAGCGTTCCCGCTCGAGACTTGCTCCCGTTTTACGCTGGACTGGCGCGCTACTCTTTCTCTCATCGGCGCCGCTCCCAGCAGCAACAACACTCCCACTCGAGAGTTCCTCCCTTTTTTACTCGAGGCGGTGCTCCTCCTCGCCGCCGAAAACCGCCGTCCCG